CGAGGATCGTTGCTAGGCGTCTTCGGACGCTGGGCAACACTCAAGGAGGCAACACTACCGGCGCCTACGGTTTAACCGTGTGGCGCGGTAGTGCTTATGGAGGATACGGTCCCGGAGGCGCATCGCGAATCTGGGTAAGTATTCACGAGTAGGCAGCTCCCGATTTTAACATGTTAAGATCGGGAGTCCTATCTGCGGAGGACATCCCCGGGCTGCGCCTTGGTGCGGCTTGGTGGGCAGACTGCTGACGGCGCAGGGAGTACGTCGCCGAAGGTAAGTATGCGTGTGGCGCCCCGACCCGTCGGGGCACCGGGCGGAGCGGTGCCTTCAGGACCGCTTCCGTCCGGCGGGAAGGCTATACGCGGTCGCGGCTGCGGTGCGCTTCTAGCGCAACGCAGCGGCGATCGCGGCCTTTGCGTGGGGGGCGGAAGGTGTATTTTCACCCGAAGCCTCAACTTGGACACTCGGAGGAGGATGTAGGGGTATCCGAAGTTCCCGGGAGGCGAGTGATCCGTGGAGTGTGGGCGTGGAGTGGTCCCCGCGCCCAACTTCGGCGGCTCCTTCACTGGAGACCCGCGGCCGGAGTGCGGTTGAATGCAAATGCGAACCCGCACGAAGGCGTCTTTCGTGGTTTTTGGAGGAACACCGAGGGGTTTTGGTGGGTCGGATTCGTCCAGTCCCACAGTATTCGTCCGCTCCCCTTCATAAAGGCGGACGTTTCGGTATTGAAACCTTTCCCCTCGTTAAAAAAAAAAAAAAAAAAAAAAGGTTGACTTGTGGGGGGGCGTGTGTCGGGCAACCTCCAAGTATGGGCCTGCCATTGGGAGGCTTCCCCATCCTCGTGGATACGTCCGCGGGGAACGGTGGCCGAGCAATGGTTTGGTTCTGGTACGCCCTGGGCGGGATAGTAGACGTTCCTTCGGGATACTGCTACTATGTCGGCCGATAGTCCGGCGAGTAGGTAGGAGTGTATATAGTGTATATAGTTAGGTTAAGTTATTTATTTGTAAATAGTTAGGTTTAGGTTGTAAATATGTACATAGTTTCTTCTTGGTTTTCGTTTTGTTTTCCTTCGTTTTGTTTTGTGTTTTGTTTCCTTTCCTGTCCTATATCCTTTCTGTCCCCTTCTTCTTCGTCTTAATTCTTCGCCTTCCGCGGGACCTCACCCGGGTAAAAAAGGAAAAACATGATGACATGGCAGAACCTAAAAAACGATTACCCCAGGAAGGTACCAGCAAAGCTGGAGAATCCTTCCCCACCGCACCGGACTCGCCGGGGGTGGGCTGTCCCAAGTATTCTGGGGGGGACAAGTTAGGCCATGAGTGGGAGGATGAGGAGGAGGTAGATGCAGCGAGGAGGGAGTTTGTGGAGAGGCTGCTGGACCAGATGGAGGCGGAAGCAATGGAGGGCTTGGATTCCGACTTCTCGGGATCAAGTCTCTCCTTGGATTCGGAAGCAGGAAGTGACGTTGCCGGCACATCAACATCTTTGCCGCAACGGCGATCCCAACGCAAGAGGCGGATCGTGGAAAAGACCAAACCGGACGATGACGCACCAGAAATCGTGTTTAAAACACCGGTGCAGAAGCCCGCAACACCATCTGCGGCAAAGAAGGCGCCCGTTACAAAAGTGGGTGGTAGTAATACCGGGCCAATAAAGAAGGTGACGAGGGGGGATGACCCTGATCTGGCGCAGGCGAAGGCCGAATTGGCCGCCGCTACCCAGAAAGACATGGAGATGGAGGCGGCAGCCGCAGTAAAAGCGGCTGCTCCGAAACCGGCGAAGCGCCCTACCACCCGCAGACCCTCAGATGAGGATGCGAAGCGCTCCGACGTCCTGGTTTCGGACATCCAGGAATGTGCCCTGAAGGTCCTCGATGCCGTGAAGAAGTCCGGCCACCTGAAGGGCACAATCGTGAAGGACATCAAGGACGCCGTCGCTACCATCCGCGCGGCGTCTGAGTCACTAGAGGGTAGGACGTCGTCTACCGAATGCGCAGCGCTTCGCCGGGAGAATTCCAGGTTGTCGCGAGACTTGGCGGACATGAGAGAAATGATGACCGCAATTAGGGAGGAGTCCGCCAAGTACTACGTAGAGTTGAGGGACCTGAAGAAGAAGACCATGGGGTCCACCGGCCAGAGCATGGATCAATTGGCGGTGCTCAAGGCGGAGAGGGCAGAATGGGAGCGGGAGATCTCCGCGACCCGTAACTCCTACCAGGAGTTACTGAAGAGGAGTACGGAGGACCGCCTACTGCTCACTACGGTGCAAACGGAGTTGGCGGAGGCCAAAGTCGCACTGGCAAAACTGCCGGAGAGTGCGACCATGGACATGGCCACTGACGCTCAGGGTGCTGAGCCGGTAATCACCGTGGGCGTTGAGGCACGCATCGTCCGTCAAATCGGGGACATTTTCAATGCCCGATTTGAGAGAATTGAGGAGCTAGTGGGCAGGCCGAAGAACTCGCCGCCTAAACGAACCGCGGCCGCACCCCGAACACCTGGGCCGGCCACGAGAGGAGGAAATGCGGCTCCTGTAGCCAGCACTAGTGGAGCGGGGGTGAGCGCTTCTCAGCCTCCGCCTGCTAAAGAGCAGTGGACGACTGTTGTTCGTCGGGGAAAACGCGCCAAGTCCGGAAAGGACCAGACGTCGGCCCCACCCACACAGGCGTCTTCAGGAGGTGCCGCTCAAAAGGAGGCTCCGAACGTGGCCCGGAATCAGGCCAAGAGGGGAGAAAACGCACGGAGAAGACAATTCCGCCAACCGCGCTCATCGGCGATAGTGCTAACGCTAAAGCCGGGAGCTGTGGAGGCGGGATCCAGCTATAAGTCGGTGCTCCGAGAGGCCCAACAGAACATCAGGTTGGATGCCCTCGGAATCACCGAACTTGGCTTCAGGCTGGGCATTACGGGGTCCCGCATCCTTGAAGTGAAGGGACCAGTGGAGGAAAGCGGCGGGAAGGCGGACGCCCTCGCTGCAAAATTGTCGGAGGTACTCCCGGCAGAGGTGGTCAGCGTGACCAGGCCGGTCAAGTCTGCGGAGTTCCGCGTCTTGGACCTGGACGACGCCACAACAGCAGCTGACGTGGTGGCAGCCGTAGCGCGAGAGGGAGACTGCGCCGAGGCCTCCGTGAAAACGGGGAGATCCGGCGCGCTCCCTCAGGGAGTGGCTCCGTCTGGGTCCGAGGCCCAATCGGAGCAGTGAAGCGGTTGGTAGATGCCGGCAAAGTTCGAGTGGGGTGGACGATGGCACGGGTGCGGTCTTTGGACCCCCGGCCGATGCGGTGCTTACGCTGCCTGCTCACAGGTCATGTGGGCCAGCGGTGCACCGCCAAGGAGGACCGCGGCGGAGCGTGCGTCCGCTGCGGACAAGACGGCCACAAGGCCGCATCGTGCACCGCCCCCTCGCCGCACTGCCCTTATTGCGCGGCGGCGAAGAAAAAGGCGGACCACCGTATGGGTAGCACCAAAGGGTGTCGCCTGCCGAAAGTGGCGAGAGTGGAGGAGATGGAGGCCGAGACCGGCCCGTCACCTCCCACCACCGGCCTCGCGGCAGCTGACGCGGGGGCGTCAGCTGTCACCTAAGGAGGTATGAGGCCAGGAGTAGGCGCGCGTGGTGTCCGCGCGTGCCACTCAGGAGTTGGGCTGAAGAGCCCGCGCTGCCGGGGTTTACGGTTGAATATCATTTGATCCCGTAACCCCGGCACCAAAGCGCTCGGAGGACACCAAGGGGTTTTAGCCGGTAGGAGTCCGGCAGTACCCCCACGCTTCCCCCGGGGCGTGCGGGTCTCCATGACGGATTTCCCCTTGTAAAAAAAAAAAAAAAAAAAAAGGTTTTCCCTCGGCGATCCATGGGGGCGCCCTTATAGGTTCGTCAGGGGCAAGTTACGCCCCTGGGCGCCCCCCGTGGCAGAGGGTCTCCAGCCGCAGCAGCTGGAGGGGGTGTTGGAGGAGCTGTTCCCGAGACAGCCTCCCTTCACGCCTCCTCCGATGATGCCGCGTGGCAGTGATGAAGAGGCCAGCGGCGTCAGCGCTGCTGCGGTTCCTGCCATCACCGAGGAGGAGTTCGCCGCGGCCGTGGATAAACTCCGGGGCAAGAACGTCGCCCCGGGTCCGGATGGTATCCACGGCCGCGTCCTGGCCTTGGCCCTAAACACCCTAGGGGACCGACTCCGGCGCTTGTTCAATGCGTGTCTGGAGTCGGGACGGTTTCCCAACCAGTGGAAAGCGGGTAGAGTGGTCCTGCTCCGCAAAGCGGAGCACCCTGCAGGTTCGGTGGTTCCCTCGGCGTTCCGCCCCATAGTGCTGTTGGACGAGATCGGCAAGCTCTTCGAGAGAATCTTGGCGGGCCGACTCGTCCAACACCTGTCTCAGGTAGGTCCCGATCTCAGCCCGAAGCAGTTCGGGTTCCGAGAGGGGCGCTCGACGATAGACGCGATCTCGCGTGTGCGCTCCCTCTCGGAAGAGGCGACGTCCCAGGGTGGGGTGTTGTTGGCGGTCTCTCTAGACATTAAGAACGCCTTCAACACCCTGCCCTTTGCGACTATTAGGGAGGCGCTGAAGTACCATCGCGCGCCTCCCTACATTCGGGACGTGATCGGGGCCTATCTCGAAGACAGGTCTGTGCTATGCACGGGGCGGAACGGCGTTGTAGTGCCGAGGGAAATGGAACGCGGTGTTCCACAGGGGTCGGTTCTGGGCCCGATCCTGTGGAACATCGGGTATGATTGGAACCTGCGGGGCGCCCTTTTAACGGGCACTGACCTCGTGTGTTACGCGGATGACACCTTGGTCACTGCCCGGGGGCGGGACCTACGGGAGGCTACCCGCTTTGCCACGGCAAGCGTGGCACTGGTCGTCGGCCGAATAAGGAGGCTTGGGCTCCAGGTGGCGCTGGAGAAGACCGAGGTCCTATGTTTTCATGGGCCTCGGCGCGCGCCACCTCCGGATGCCCAGCTGGTCGTCAGTGGCCAGAGGGTGGGGGTCAAGCCCTGTATTAGGTATTTGGGGCTTGACCTGGACAGCCGTTGGAGCTTCCGCGCTCATTTCCGGAACCTGGTCCCTCGCCTTATGGCAGCCGCCGGCGCTCTTAGCTGGCTGCTGCCAAACGTGAGGGGCCCGGGAGAAGGTTCCCGCCGCCTATACCTCGGCGTGGTGCGGTCCATGGCCCTGTACGGGGCCCCCATCTGGGTGGGGGCCCTAGGTAGGGAAAATGTGGCCTGTCTTAACAGGCCACACAGGGCCATGGCCATCAGGGCCATTAGAGGCTACCGCACCATATCCGGGGAAGCGGCGGGTCTGCTGGCGGGGTCTCCTCCGTGGGACTTGGTAGCGGAGCTCCACGCGTCAGTGTACCACTGGCGCGCGGAGCGACGTTCCATGGGGGAGGCACTCGCTGGTCACGAGATCGAAGCGCGGAGGTCCGACTTTCGGCGGATCCTCAGGATCGAATGGCGGGCTAGATTGATGAGCCCGTCGGCCGGCCTGAGGACCGTCGAGGCTGTCCGTCCCATCCTCAAACGGTGGATGAATAGGAGATGGCCACTGACGTACCGCATGACGCAGATACTGTCCGGGCACGGATGCTTCGGGCGGTATCTGTGTCATGTGGCGAGGAAGGAGCCGACGACCGGCTGCCACGAGTGCGGAGGTGTTGAGGACACGGCGCAACACACGCTGGACGAATGTCCAGCGTTCGAGAGTGAGCGCCGTGTCCTCACACGAATAGTGGGGGACGATCTCTCGCTGCCGAATTTAGTTCGGAGGATGGTCAGTAGCGAGAGATCGTGGCTGGCGGTGAGCTCCTTCTGCGAGGAAGTTATCTCGCGGAAGGAGGCGGCGGAAAGGGAGCGGGAGTCAGCTCGTCCCGCTTCCCTCCGCCGCAGAAGAGCCAGGCCTAGAGGTGGGAGCGTATCCAACTCCGCCCCCCTCTATCCCCCACTGGGGCCGGGGTGACTGCCTTGAGGGAGGCAGTTCCCCCAATCCAAAGGACCCGGAGGTGTGCGCGTGTACCCACACGCCTCCACAATGGAGTAGGGCGAAATAGGTCGCCCTAACCACAAAACGAGATGGGGCCTGCCCTACAACATCTACAGGGCGGGCCGTCGCCGTCGGAGCTGGGGTAGAATGCACCTGCGATCCCCTGGCTCCGGCATAGGCGCTCGTAGGTACACCGTGTGGTTTTTTAGTGGGTACAAGACCCACACACCACCTCGCCATCCCTCCGGCGGGGTGACGGTCTTTTGAAGATTTTTCCACACGTTAAAAAAAAAAAAAAAAAAAGGTTCCCCCGCAGGTTCGGTGGTTCCCTCGGCGTTCCGCCCCATAGTGCTGTTGGACGAGATCGGCAAGCTCTTCGAGAGAATCTTGGCGGGCCGACTCGTCCAACACCTGTCTCAGGTAGGTCCCGATCTCAGCCCGAAGCAGTTCGGGTTCCGAGAGGGGCGCTCAACGATTGACGCGATCTCGCGTGTGCGCTCCCTCTCGGAAGAGGCGACGTCCCAGGGTGGGGTGTTGTTGGCGGTCTCTCTAGACATTAAGAACGCCTTCAACACCCTGCCCTTTGCGACTATTAGGGAGGCGCTGAAGTACCATCGCGCGCCTCCCTACATTCGGGACGTGATCGGGGCCTATCTCGAAGACAGGTCTGTGCTATGCACGGGGCGGAACGGCGTTGTAGTGCCGAGGGAAATGGAACGCGGTGTTCCACAGGGGTCGGTTCTGGGCCCGATCCTGTGGAACATCGGGTATGATTGGAACCTGCGGGGCGCCCTTTTAACGGGCACTGACCTCGTGTGTTACGCGGATGACACCTTGGTCACTGCCCGGGGGCGGGACCTACGGGAGGCTACCCGCTTTGCCACGGCAAGCGTGGCGCTGGTCGTCGGCCGAATAAGGAGGCTTGGGCTCCAGGTGGCGCTGGAGAAGACCGAGGTCCTATGTTTTCATGGACCTCGGCGCGCGCCACCTCCGGATGCCCAGCTGGTCGTCAGTGGCCAGAGGGTGGGGGTCAAGCCCTGTATTAGGTATTTGGGGCTTGACCTGGACAGTCGTTGGAGCTTCCGCGCTCATTTCCGGAACCTGGTCCCTCGCCTTATGGCAGCCGCCGGCGCTCTTAGCTGGCTGCTGCCAAACGTGAGGGGCCCGGGAGAAGGTTCCCGCCGCCTATACCTCGGCGTGGTGCGGTCCATGGCCCTGTACGGGGCCCCCATCTGGGTGGGGGCCCTAGGTAGGGAAAATGTGGCCTGTCTTAACAGGCCACACAGGGCCATGGCCATCAGGGCCATTAGAGGCTACCGCACCATATCCGGGGAAGCGGCGGGTCTGCTGGCGGGGTCTCCTCCGTGGGACTTGGTAGCGGAGCTCCACGCGTCAGTGTACCACTGGCGCGCGGAGCGACGTTCCATGGGGGAGGCACTCGCTGGTCACGAGATCGAAGCGCGGAGGTCCGACTTTCGGCGGATCCTCAGGATCGAATGGCGGGCTAGATTGATGAGCCCGTCGGCCGGCCTGAGGACCGTCGAGGCTGTCCGTCCCATCCTCAAACGGTGGATGAATAGGAGATGGCCACTGACGTACCGCATGACGCAGATACTGTCCGGGCACGGATGCTTCGGGCGGTATCTGTGTCATGTGGCGAGGAAGGAGCCGACGACCGGCTGCCACGAGTGCGGAGGTGTTGAGGACACGGCGCAACACACGCTGGACGAATGTCCAGCGTTCGAGAGTGAGCGCCGTGTCCTCACACGAATAGTGGGGGACGATCTCTCGCTGCCGAATTTAGTTCGGAGGATGGTCAGTAGCGAGAGATCGTGGCTGGCGGTGAGCTCCTTCTGCGAGGAAGTTATCTCGCGGAAGGAGGCGGCGGAAAGGGAGCGGGAGTCAGCTCGTCCCGCTTCCCTCCGCCGCAGAAGAGCCAGGCCTAGAGGTGGGAGCGTATCCAACTCCGCCCCTCTCTATCCCCCACTGGGGCCGGGGTGACTGCCTTGAGGGAGGCAGTCCCCCCAATCCAAAGCCCCCGGAGGTGTGCGCGTGTACCCACACGCCTCCACAATGGAGTAGGGCGAAATAGGTCGCCCTAACCACAAAACGAGATGGGGCCTGCCCTACAACATCTACAGGGCGGGCCGTCGCCGTCGGAGCTGGGGTAGAATGCACCTGCGATCCCCTGGCTCCGGCATAGGCGCTCGTAGGTACACCGTGTGGTTTTTTAGTGGGTACAAGACCCACACACCACCTCGCCATCCCTCCGGCGGGGTGACGGTCTTTTGAAGATTTTTCCACACGTTAAAAAAAAAAAAAAAAAAAGGTTCCCCCGCAGGTTCGGTGGTTCCCTCGGCGTTCCGCCCCATAGTGCTGTTGGACGAGATCGGCAAGCTCTTCGAGAGAATCTTGGCGGGCCGACTCGTCCAACACCTGTCTCAGGTAGGTCCCGATCTCAGCCCGAAGCAGTTCGGGTTCCGAGAGGGGCGCTCAACGATTGACGCGATCTCGCGTGTGCGCTCCCTCTCGGAAGAGGCGACGTCCCAGGGTGGGGTGTTGTTGGCGGTCTCTCTAGACATTAAGAACGCCTTCAACACCCTGCCCTTTGCGACTATTAGGGAGGCGCTGAAGTACCATCGCGCGCCTCCCTACATTCGGGACGTGATCGGGGCCTATCTCGAAGACAGGTCTGTGCTATGCACGGGGCGGAACGGCGTTGTAGTGCCGAGGGAAATGGAACGCGGTGTTCCACAGGGGTCGGTTCTGGGCCCGATCCTGTGGAACATCGGGTATGATTGGAACCTGCGGGGCGCCCTTTTAACGGGCACTGACCTCGTGTGTTACGCGGATGACACCTTGGTCACTGCCCGGGGGCGGGACCTACGGGAGGCTACCCGCTTTGCCACGGCAAGCGTGGCGCTGGTCGTCGGCCGAATAAGGAGGCTTGGGCTCCAGGTGGCGCTGGAGAAGACCGAGGTCCTATGTTTTCATGGACCTCGGCGCGCGCCACCTCCGGATGCCCAGCTGGTCGTCAGTGGCCAGAGGGTGGGGGTCAAGCCCTGTATTAGGTATTTGGGGCTTGACCTGGACAGTCGTTGGAGCTTCCGCGCTCATTTCCGGAACCTGGTCCCTCGCCTTATGGCAGCCGCCGGCGCTCTTAGCTGGCTGCTGCCAAACGTGAGGGGCCCGGGAGAAGGTTCCCGCCGCCTATACCTCGGCGTGGTGCGGTCCATGGCCCTGTACGGGGCCCCCATCTGGGTGGGGGCCCTAGGTAGGGAAAATGTGGCCTGTCTTAACAGGCCACACAGGGCCATGGCCATCAGGGCCATTAGAGGCTACCGCACCATATCCGGGGAAGCGGCGGGTCTGCTGGCGGGGTCTCCTCCGTGGGACTTGGTAGCGGAGCTCCACGCGTCAGTGTACCACTGGCGCGCGGAGCGACGTTCCATGGGGGAGGCACTCGCTGGTCACGAGATCGAAGCGCGGAGGTCCGACTTTCGGCGGATCCTCAGGATCGAATGGCGGAGAGATTGATGGCCAGTCCATCGGCCGGCCTGAGGACCGTCGAGGCTGTCCGTCCCATCCTCAAACGGTGGATGAATAGGAGATGGCCACTGACGTACCGCATGACGCAGATACTGTCCGGGCACGGATGCTTCGGGCGGTATCTGTGTCATGTGGCGAGGAAGGAGCCGACGACCGGCTGCCACGAGTGCGGAGGTGTTGAGGACACGGCGCAACACACGCTGGACGAATGTCCAGCGTTCAGTGAGCGCCGTGTCCTCACACGTGTGGGGGAATGATCTCTCGCTGCCGAATTTAGTTCGGAGGATGGTCTAAGCGAGAGATCGTGGCTAAATAAATTATCTGCGACAATTATCTCGCGGAAGGAGGTCCCAGGGAGCGGGAGAGCTTGTGTTACTAAACAACTGATATAAATACTTATATTTTTTTAAATGTAAATACATACATGGTGTACATAGAAAACACACAGACCGATACAAACAACCATATTCATGAGTACAAATGTTTGGAACATGTGACTAATCGAACCCGCTTCTAACAATCAATCCACAACCAATTCTGAGTAAAATTTGTTTTTGATGGAAATATTCTATAATTTTCAGAATATGAGTCAACCTGCCCTACAACAGATAATCCAAGGTCTGCCGTCCCTCGGTCAGTAATTGAAAATACTTTACATACACCTTCTATAAATGAATCAACCTCAATGCAGCAAAGTTTTGTGGATGTTCCAAGTACTTCTAAATCTACATACCATAAACAGGTAAATATTAATACAAAATACAATAGTAGTATCACAGATAAGATAACCTTACACACATATACAGCATTCCATACGGCGGGGTCTAACATGAACTATATTATTGTTTGGGCTATTTTATTTAACAGCTATATCTGAATCAGTTTAGAAAATGGGTGCTTAGTAATAAAGTATGCTAATTGGTATGTATCTGTAATATAAACTTGATTGGGTATTGGGTATTAACAAGGTAGATTTCTATGATTTACCTACATAATCGTTAGCAGGCACTCTACAAATACGGCTCTCAAATCTACAGAATGTATTTTATTATTCAGATAATACATGCCTACTGTTTAACTCTGACGAAAAAAGAGTTATTATAAAGTTTAATATATCTGGTTTATAGCTCCTAAATGGATAGATCCATTTCATTATTTTTTTATATCAAAATCAATCTATTTTTAAAATCTATTTTTATCAAATCTGATTTGATAAAAATAGATTTTACCTATTATAAATTACTGTACATAGCATGCCTTATGTCATTTGCAATGTATTATCCCAATAAGAATTCCACAATATAAATTTAATAATAGGAAAATAATAT